AACCCGTCTGTCATCAACCCGTCTGTCATCAACCCGTCTGTCTGTCATCAACCCGTCTGTCTGTCATCAACCAATCTGTCGTCAACCCGTCTGTCATTAACCCGTCTGTCATCAACCCGTCTGTCATCAACCCGGCTCTCTGTTCACCTGTTGTTTCCTGTTATAATTCTGTCTATTTCCTGTTTATTTCCTGGTTGTTCCCTGTTTGTTTCCGGTTTATTTCCTGTTTACTTCCTTATTATTGCCTGTCTACTTCCTGTTTACATCCAGTTTCTTTCCTTCTTATTTCCTGTTTACTTCCTGGTTGTTTGCTGTTTACTTCCTGTCTACTTCCTGATTACGTCCAGTTTCTTTCCTTCTTGTTTCCTGTTTACTTCCTGGTTATTTCCTGGTTGTTTCAGAGGCTCTGAACTTGGCGGCTCTACAGACCGACGGCGGCGCCGCGTCGACCCTCCTGAAGTCTCGGTTGTACCTCAGCGGCGTCCTGAGCCACTGCGTCGCCGCTCTGAGGCCCGGACGGCTGCAGGAGAGCTGGAGCGCCGCCGCCACGCTGGCACAGCTCACCTGGTAGGGCCGCTCACCTGGTAGGACAGGTGCAGCAGACGCGCCCCCAGAGTTTACATCTGGGTGCAGAAATCAGTTCAGATCCTACAGCTGTTTAATTCTTATAGTTATTTTTTATTTTATTTTATTTTATTTGACCTTTATTTAACCAAGCAAAGACATTAAAAACAAGATTCTTATTTACAATGCCGGCCTGGCAAGTGCCATAGGCACCTGTAGGGCAAGTGGGGGAGGGGAACACAAATAAAACAAATCAAATCAGTAAATATTTAAGCAATTTAAGACATCAAAAGAGGAGTTAAAAAGTAACAAAACATTTACAGTTGTCGTTGAAAATCACCTTTAAATTACGTTTAAAAACAGAGACAGACGTAAAAGCATCAAGTCTCAGAGACTTTTGTGATGTGTTCCAGTCATTTGAAGCTGCAGAAGAAAACGACATTTGTCCAAAGCGAGAGTTGGTTTTCGGGATTAGTAGCATGATTCTGTGGGAGGACCGTGTGTTGTATTGGGCTGTAGATACACTGTGCAGGAGCCGACATAAATATGAAGGTGAAAGGCCGAGGAGTGTTTTATAGATGAGAGTGAACCAGTGAAAACCCTGACTGTAGAGCAGACAATGATGAGTTCTGGAAGGAGTTCTGGTGACAAGTCGAATCGCGGACTGGTAAATTGAGTCCAGTTTTTGAAGAGTTCCTGTCTGTAGATTGTGTCACCGTAGTCAAACAAGGGGAGGATGGTTCTTTCAACAATCAAACGTTTGGCTGCAGACGTGAGTGAGGAGCGATTTCTATAAAGAAAACCAACTCTCGCTTTGACCTTTGATTCTAACATGTTTATGTGATGTGAGAAAGAAAGTGCACTATCAAGATAGATTCCTAAATGTCTGTATTATGATGTAAAGCGGCAACGTTTGTGTGTTTGGAGCTGCTTCTATTTTTCCTTTTCATAAAACACATTGTTTGTTTATTTATTTGTAATTTTTAACACACTTTAAAATATAAATATTTTCGTATTTTCATGTTTATTAAAAATTCATTTAATTTAATGTTTTCCAGCATTTTAAATAAAAAGTATTTAAGATTTAATCTTTAAAAATCCAACTGAAAACTGAAATTGAATCCACAGAAAAGGTTTATGTTGTAAAAACATACTTTTTGTATATTTAATTTTTTATTTTTATTTTACATAATCAAATTCTTTGAAATTCAGTCTTTTAAGTCATTCTGTTTTTAAGTTTATAATTTCTTGTTTGAGTTCTGGATAATTTTTCTACTTGAGTATTTAGATTTGAGTGTTTATTCATAATTTATATTCTTTAATTTAAGTTTTTCTATTTTCAAGTGTTTTTTATTCTTTTAATGTTAATAATGTTGAGGTTTTATTTCCATTACACCTGCTTTAGCTTTAGGGTTCGTCTTCTGTGGTGTTTCTCTGCAGCTGCTGCTGCGTCGGCGTCCAGCCCGGCCGACACTCGGAGGCCTTTCATAGGCTGTTCCTGCCGTCAGTCGTGGACGCTCTCCTCTCATTGGCCGGTCAGCTGATGAGGCGAGCGGAGGTGAGCATCAGGAAACGTTGGTGTGCAACGTTGATGGAACGGTGAACTAACTGAGCTGTGTTTGTCAGCGCTGCTCTCTGTTCAGGACGCTGATGGACTCGGTCGGCCGGCTGCTGTCTGCTCACGCTCAGCTCAGCGCTCACGGTCAGTCTGATCATCGCTTATTGATCCGTCACGCAGCCGATCGGGACGCCGATCCACACTCGTCTGTTTTAAACCTGAACAGCCTCCTTCATGCATCTCAGTCCTACACGTATAAATGATTATTTATTATATGCTTCAAACAATTCTTAAAGATGTGAACACATTTCAGAAAGTCCAGAAATATACACATATATATATATTCAATCTAATAAATGTTTGTATTTCAAAATACAAACTAAAGATAATGAGCTTTAACTGATTTTAAAGAAAAACTTCTTTACAGTCTTTAAACTGGATTTTAATATTTTTAAAGTTTTTTGTGTGATGGAAGATATTTTATTTTACATTTTTAATGCTTTTTATTATTTATTGACTTTATTGGTTTTAGCACTTTACTTTACTTCTCAAATATAATTTTTAAAAACATTTTTTTATAGCTTTGAATGAATGAAATGAAATGAATGAAAAAGACTTTATTTATCCCAGAAGGGAAATTCAATTTTCAAAGTTTTTTTTCACATAAACAATTAGATTTCAGATTTTTCTTCAGTGTGTATTTAAGAAAATGTTTTCAGTGTCTTAGATTGAAGTTGCTTCGAGCGTTTTGTTTCTGACATTTTAAACTGCTTCTCTGTACCTGATATCGTGTTTTAGAAGAAATTTAAAATAGTATTTTTATGTTTTTCAGTCTCCTAGTTATTTTAAATCGTTTTATTCAAGTGAGTAGTTTTCGTTTTCTTCAGGAAGTAAAATGTGAAACTTGTGGCGTTCTTCGTGTCTCTGCAGTTATAAGCTCCGCCCACTACGAGCAGATCCAGATGTGCGATGACGTCGCCGTGACGCTGCTGTGTGTCCAGATGTGGATCCAGATCTGCACAACCAGCAGGTGGAGCACACAGACACAACACAGCACTTCCTGTTCTGGTGTCTCAACTCTCAGGATGATCGTCAGCGACGTCGTTGGTCGTTTCTCGCTCGTCTACAAAATACCGAAGAACACTTTAAAATATAAACATAAATAAAAACTATAGTTGTTCACAAGTTAGTAATAGTAATATAGTCATTTTAAGGAAATTTAAATTGAATTAAAACATCCATCCATCATCTACACCTTAATCCTCACCAGGGTCATGGGGGGCGGAGCCTATCCCAACTGACTCAGGGTGAAGGCAGGTTCACCTGGACAGGTAACCAGTCTATCACAGGGCTACACTTAGAGACAGACAACCAAGCACACTCACATTCACACCTACGGACAATTTACAATCACCAATTAACCTCAGCATGTTTCTGGACTGTGGGAGGAAGCCGGAGAACCCGGAGAGAACCCACGCTGCACGGGGAGAACATGGAGACTCCACGCAGGAAGATCCCGGGTGTCCTCACCGTAGTATTCAAAATAAATGTACAAATATATAAAAACTCAAAAATTCAGAAAAATGAAATGAATTAAACAAATTTCACAAAATCTGTATTTTCAAATATTTGTATTTTAAAATACAAAATAAGAATTCTGAACATAATTTTAGTTAAATTTCAAAAGAAAAATACGTTTAATAAATCAGAATTATATTGTCAAAGTTATAAATATTCAGTTTGAATCATTGTGAAAAATGTAAATTACTGAAAACAGAAGAATGGAATGAATAAAGTATGTAAAAAGTATTAATTTAAAATACTAATTCATTCTAAATTTGGCTGCTTTCAAATTCTCAAAGTGTTTTTAAAATCTCAGCAAATTATAAAATGCTCATGTCGATGAATCTACTGCAGTGTTGCGTAAAGTTTATGGAGAGAAGGATGAAGAAAAGCAGCACGACTACAAGTTCTACACCTTAAACTTAAAAACTCTGAAACAAATTTATCATCAAAACCCAGAACTGTCATAAATGTCAACTCATTTAAATATTTTAAAATAATGTAAATACAAATTAATTCTAAAGTTGTTGCGTTGTTTACTCACGTTGTTTACCTTGTTTGTTTACCTGTTGATGTGCAGGAACTTCCTGTCAGAGCTGAGCGATGACTCCGCCCTCTTGTTGCTCAACGAGGCCGTCGGCCAATTAGCTCTCAGCTCTGACTCCACGGTGGGTGGAGCCTCCATCAGACTGATCCTCCTCATGGCCAATCAGCTGAAGCTCCGCCTTCAGCCCCTCCTACTGAGCTTCAGAGGTCAGAGGTCGCTCTCAGGTGAGTCTGTGGGTCACATGGGTGGAGACGTCACCTGTTCGTCTGTCTGCAGGTCTGGACAGCCTCCTGGACAAGGACTGGAGGGGGCGGGGCTTTGACCAGGATGTGGATCAGCTGATCGCACTCGTCCAATCGGGGCAGGGCGTGCTGATGAGTGGCTCTCAGGTGAGTTTGTTAAGAGTAACTTCATTAGATTTATTATTCATTTATTATTTAATTTTATATGAAAGAAAAAATAGTTTATAAATTTTTGTAGTTAATAGATTTAATGTTTGATATTTTAATTATTTTATTATTCTTCAATTTAGTTCTGCTATTAAATAATTCTTCTCTGTTTTAGTATTTTCCTTTTTTTGTAAAGATTTTCACATTTTTTAAAAACATTTTCACGATTTTACAATGTAGAAAAAGCTTCTTTTTAATCTTTAATCGCGTTCAAAAAATATATATTTTATATACCAAAGAAATAGTGAATTTTTTTAAAAGGTTTTTGTTTTATTGAAGATGTTTTTTAGTGTCTTAAATTTGCATTATTTTAGTAAAATAGTTTTTTTTCACATTTTGTAATTCTTGTCATTATTCTAAATATTTTTAAATATGTTTTTTATATTTTAGCCTGTTTTATTTATTTGACTTGTCTTTTTTTTAAATTTAAAATTAATCTTTTAAGTTGCCCAATTTATAAAAAAAACAATTCAAAATATATTTCATATGTAGTGTTTTTCCACATAAAGTGTGTTTAGTAATTACATTTGTAAGGGAAAGCTAACTTGTGAAACCGTCCAATCAGATCACTGACTGACTCCTCCTGTGCAGGTGAGCACTGAGCATGTGCAGGCGGCGTGCGTCATCCAGGCGGCGTGGCGTTCGTATCGAACCCGGCGCCGAGTCAAGAGTCTGAGCCGAGCCGTCAGCACGCTGCAGAGGAGATACCGGTCCAACAGAACTTACAATATCAGAAAATAAAAGCATTACTGAGCAAACAGCTCCACGTTAAAGTGCATTGACATGATAAAAATCCTCTTTGTAAAGCTTTAAATTCATTACACACATCCAGCACCATGTTTGACACTTTGTTCTGTATTTTAAATATCTCTGTTGTAAAATGGGTTGTTGTGTGTGAACCGTCAGAGCTCGTCGGCGGCGGCAGCAGCAGCAGACGGAGGCTCGGCGATGGGAGGAGGAGCTCAGCTACCAGGTGAGGTCGTCGAGGTGCAGCGCCTCACCTGCTCGCTCAACAGACCGGTTCTAGCAGCGTCTCTGTGTGTTCCAGGTGTTCGTGAGGCGGCAGCAGGCCAGGAGGAGGTTTCACCAGAAGCAGCGCCGGCTGCTGCAGCTGCTTCCAGCCGGTCAGAGCACAACACGTGGACATAAAGTGGTGGTAGACGTTGTGTAGAGGCTGCAGGCGGATTCGTTCACATCAGTCACTCTGACGCCTTTAAAAGCAGTTCCAGTCACCTGAGAGAAGGTTTCCTGCTGCCATTAGTTCACGTGTTTTGAACATTTGGTGCATTAATGTACAACTTCGTGAATTTTCCATGGGTTTGATGTTTCTGACATTAATATCCAAGTTTCACATTTTGTTGCATTACTATCCAGGTTTATTTGTATTAGTGCGCTAATATCCACGTTTTGACATTTAGTTGAGGCAATATCCAGACTTTGGACGTTGTGTTGCACTAACATCTAGACTTTCTGACCTTTTGGTGCCTTGATGTCCATGTTTCTGTGTTGGTCTGCTGATGTTGGTTTTATCGGGCCATTAGAACACAAACTGGAGGTTCAACTGCTGAATGTTTGTGTCCAGACCAGGTGCAGTCGTACCTGCAGGAGGTGGAGCGTCGGGCAGCCGTGGTGATCCAGAGCTTCTGGAGAGGCTTCAGAGAGCGACGCCGCTACCAGGACACACAGCGACACACACTGAGACAGACACAAAAACGACAGCAGGCCGCCATGACGCTACAGACAGCGGTATGCCCACCTGTACCTACCTAGAC